ATAATCATTTTATTCTATTTCGATGAGCATATAAAAAATTGCTTAGTTGTTAATTGATCAAACTTGAATTCGCCTTTTGATTGACCGATGTTATTTTCATCATCTTCATAAATCGTTCCTCTATCATCAAATTTTATTCTATTAAATTAAGTTTTCAAATGAGCGAGAGGAAAAACACATCACATATAGTACGCCTAAAAATTTAGAAAACTACAGGGTCCGCCAAATAACTTTTGTTGAAAATTCTATAGAAAAAAACTACCGAATATTTTCGCAAATTTCTATTTTGATTTGAAAGTACAACCCATGCGGTTAATAATGAAAAATAATTTCATTTAAATAGCCGAACAACTATTCAAACTATTTCATAAATTCGTACAGAATGACTAAAAAAAAACGTTAGATGGCCGGATCCTATAGATTCGATTAGAATTTGCGTCCAAAAACTAATAATTATCTAAAATCTGTTGAGCACGAATTGAATTAATATGCTATTTATAAATATTAGCAATATGTTTCTAAGTAAAAACAAACTCTTGTCCGGCATTGCTGCATCAATAAAAGTCAGCCCTATTAGATAAATTATAATAATAAATTCTTCAAATGTGAATAATGGATCAGCCATCAGGTTACCATCTAAAAATACGAACAAGGAGCCCATCAACTCATTGAACGTAAAGTTTGATTGCTGTTAAGATATGAAAAAAATATATAAATGCTATGTATGTATAGTTTTGCAAATTAAAATAATTCTTACTCACAATACCCGAGTAAATCAATAACTAGCAATAGAATTGCTTTCTCACAAAATGGATGTACACAATCAATTGAAAAAATCAAAAGTCCCGCAAGCATTACAAACATACATTTACATCGTGGAACAAACTTTTCAATTTATTCAAAAGCAAGCCATAATCTATAATAAAAAATATTTCTTCAGACTCTGGTCAACATAAGAACATAACTAAGAGTTCTAAACGAACATAACAAAACTTGTTCGAAAAATTTGCGTAACTATAAGAATCTTAAGCATAGATAAGATCTTAAACTTCTATTGAACTTCTACCTAGAAAACATATGAAGTATTCTCGTACATCGCTAGAAAGGTCTCAAAATTCTTAGTTTTTTTTCCATATATCGCAACTTCGAATTCCACACGGTGTGGCCTACAGGCAAGTTGCAATCGATAAATTCCACTTTTTAAATGACCCACCCTATATAATTTATCTATATAATATAAGAATCAACGACAATAATGAAATGTGAATATTTTTTTTTTTAATTTTATTTGAACAGCAATCAGAACTAATGGGTTCTATGAGCTGTTGTGAGTAAGATCTTACAAACTACGTTTGTTTTATTCCAGATGGCAACCCAAACAGTTGTCACATCTCTGTATGATAAATTTTTATTACAATCTCTGTAATAGGGCAAGTATGGTGCAACAATGCCGGGTGAGGGCTATTTTCACTTGGAAACATATTGCTATCTATATTTCCGAATGAAAATCGTTGTCAATGTTGCCTGACAACAGGCTGCTCGAAGTGGGTATCGAACCCGGGACCTCTGAAACAAGTCCCGTCGCTCTTAACCGCTTACCTACGGGAGAGCCGAAATGTGAATCTATATTTATTTTTACTTTTCCAGTTATGAAACAGAAAACGGTATATTCCACGTCGAGCACGGAAAAATAATAAACGCCGGAACAGATGCTGAAACGATTCACACGAATGGTTTTTACGAATACACTGGTACTGATGGCATGCTGCACAGAGTTGAGTACTCAGCAGGAAAACATGGTTTCATCGCAAAAGCCGCCCGATTGCCGGCACCGGTGACTTCCAGCACACCCCGAGCAGTCCATGAGATAAAGGTCAAAGAATTAGTACCTCCGCCTCTTCCAATTGTGACGAAATCGGAAGTAACATCAACTACTACTACTACGGAAGCAACAAAATCTTCGGAGGAAGAAAACTAAACGGCAATATTATAAAATAATTTGATAATTTTCGGTATACGTCTTAGATTATTCAATTAATTATTAAGTATATGAGTATGTTAGAAGTCTTTAAATTTAGGTTCAATTGATAAGTTAGATGACAAGAAACAATTTCAATTATTGTGATATGACTGATACTAAACGAAAATAGAAACTAAACGTATTTTTATTTTGGATGGAATTTAATATATACACACCATATGCACACACACATATATATACATATATAAATATATATATATATATATATATATATATATATATATATATTTAATTTTTTTGTCGACATTGGAACATTCAGAATGTTTATTTGCAGCCGAAATAAAAAACAAATAATTATTATGTACGTTTCGACACTGTACGTGTGTCATTCAGCACTTTAAATAAATTCAAACCAGAAAAACAAATTTAAATACATTATTTATTTAATGGAAAATAAATAAATAAAATATAATAATAAACTTTTGATCTTAGTCACATGATTAATTAATTACAAATCAATTATTTACATTACATATTAGTTATTATATTTTACAATTTATTACGCATGTAACTAACAATATAATTTTATTATTTAAATTTAAGTTTATTATTTTGTTTTATTGATTTGTTTTTTCATTAAACAAAATCTTTATTTTAAATGTTTTCGTGGTTTGAATTTATTAACGTGCTGAATATATGATGTCACATACAGTGTACATAATAAATGGTTATTAATTGCTTTTTATTTTTACTTCTTGGCAAGTAAACATTTCACAAATACATAAATACACATTTTTCTGCAATGATTGTCTACCTTAAAATAAGAACAATATTTTCATATTATTGGAAATGCCGCCACTTTTTACTGTCAAGCTGCATAACAATAACAATTCAACGGCAGTGAATGTACGGGGCTCTTTTAACCCCTTAACCGACTATTTATACTCAAAAATGTTGGGCCAAAGTAGTTCAAGCCGGCGCAGCGTTCTTGACCATTTTTTCCCATCAGTAAATATCGTCACTTTGTACTCGGTTTAATTCTCATAAACTTCAAAAATTTTCATAAAGAAAGTTTTTCGAGAGAAGTTGTAAAAAATACATAATCTATGAATTTAATCGCAATAAGAAATATAAATATAATCGACGTTGATTAAAATCAACGTCTACTGAATCGATTCCTGGAATATCAATGCACAGAAAGTGAAAAATTAGTACATATAACATTAAAAATATTTCTGAGCTCGCAGGCTTTTAGGCCGGGGCCATCTTTAGATCGGGGGCCATATTTTTTATTTATTCAGCGCCGCCCCGGCCCTATCCAAAATGGCTCCCATTTTGGATACCAATGTTAGATAATCGCAATGTAAACAACATAAAATTCACAAAGTCTGATTTCAGAAATTTATAACTAATTAATTCAGCATTTACAATTTATCGAATGTCCATTATCAAAAAATTCAATATTTAAAAAATTCTATTATTACCTCATCCAAATTATTCATTATCACATAATTTGCACAATAAATAAGTTTTCACAAAATTTTAAGGTCCATAACATTCTACTGCAAAATTACCAAATAACAAGTCAATAGTTCAATAAGACTGGCTAATACGATATAATTAACTGACATAATTCACGTAAAAAATACCGGCACTCGAACGCGCAAAAATGAACATTTACTCATCATACAACACTGACACTGATCGACGTGTTACTCGAAAATTTTGCACTACTGAAATCCTGAGGATTGTCCCCCTGTATGTCTGCAACAAAAATGAACAAATTTGCCAGATGATAAAATTTAACCTTTTACGATAATTTGTTGTTATAAGCGCCGCTATAACGATGACTCCGTGCGCCAAACGATAGACGTTATGCCAAAATTGGTGCAAATGGAGAAAAACACGTGGGAAGTAAATTTTCATACAAATGAGAAAATTGTTAATTTTGTCGCCCTCGACATGCTTATAATTAAAATTACAGTCAAGCAAGGAATAATTTAATTTCTATACTAAAAGTTTGATTGAATTTCGGTTTTGAAAATACTATTTTGAACAAATTTAAGTACTTAATTTGCAAATTAAATAATGAAATTGCGCATTACGGTATATCACCATCAAATTAATACTTTTAATGGCAACTAATTTATTGATTTTCTTCAGAATTCTGAAGAATAAGACTTTTAATGGCAACTAATTTCAGAATTCTGAAGAAAATCAATAAATTAGTTGCCATTAAAAGTATTAATTTGATGGTGATATTCCGTAATGCGCAATTTCATTATTTAATTTGCAAATTAAGTACTCAAATTTGTTCAAAATAGTATTTTGTCTTTGTTCAAAATAGTATTTTTGTATAGTATCGGAATACAGTAATTACTTAAGTAATTACTAAAGATTTGTTATCTATATATATATATATATATATATATATATATGCATGTATATGTGTGTGTGTTGTGTATATACAGTAAATATGTCTCTGTTTATATATTCAATAGGTTCATTGAATATTTTATTAGTTACATATTTTCATATGCTACTTTTTTATATATGAGATAAATTATAACATTGCATTAATATGTACCATATGACCATAAAGTGAAGGATATAACATGTTGCTAGTTACGAAGTTTCAATTTCTCTCAAAATGAAACTAGAATTTCTATACTATTGAAAATAACTTAATATTTTATTTTTAATGCTTTTCTTCTATAACAGAAGTAATCTTTATTTATAATAATGATAACTGTTAAATTAAAAGTTGATTTCAAAATTTCATCATTTTATTTTATAAAACAGCTTATAATACAAATTTATTTATAAATAATAATCATAATAAATAATCTAAGCATACTAAGTTCTATTTAAAATTTATAGTTGATAATGATGTATTTATTTCATATGTTCAATATATTCACAATTTTAAAAATATAGACAATAATTAAAAAGTAGCATTATTTTGTCTTAGATTCAATGCATATTATTAAGAAATATTGCAGAATAATTACGTGATCTGTTAACGTGTGTGACATTCATGTAATAAACTAATGTAGAAATATTCAACAAATGCATTTAAAAACCAGTTTCAATAAAACATGCAATCATAAATAAAACCTAAAATTATCAATATATATTAAATATTAATGTTGCGTATGAATTATAAAAAGCTATACTTCTTGTAACGCATAATGCAAATCATCAGACCCAACATTTAACAAAATCTTCATATTTAAATCAGAGCGACCCGTCTCAGTAATAAGTAACCTTCTCGAACCAAGTCTACAACAAATCGATAAAGCAGTACTGGTTGCTAAGTTTTGTAAACCCTCTAAAGCACAGAGAGATGAAACATGTTGATAACAACATCCAAATGTTGTTTCTTCAACACCTGTTCTTGCAACCTTTAAAAAATATAAAACGATTTGTCATATTTGTTACCAAGAATCAATTCAGTAAAACAGAATAATATTGAAAATTCACCTCAGCAGCAACAGCTTGTAAGAATATCTTTTCCATTGTGCTACAATTTTGAATTGCAGTGACTTTGGCACTGGTAATCATTTCCGATAAGGCTTGATTCACATGAACCATAGAAACTATAGCAGCACCATTTGAATTCTTACTTTTATTAGAAGATTCAGTAAATTCTGCTATTTCTGTAGCACGTCTGCATATGTCCAGTGCACGTCTTGCATCACCAGATACCGCAGCTACTTTTCTGTATTTTTTTTCATATTTATATTTGATAATAATATATACAAAAAAAAATTAATAAAACTTTTGAAAGAATTTATATAATTCTTTCAAAACTTTTAGTAATTTTTTTTTTTAAATAAAAATCAGTGTGAAAAATGAATGACCTATGTCATTATTTACATTAATATACAAGCAGGCAGATACCAATGAACAACATAGTTTATGTAATTTCCAATATATCACCAAATTCTACATTATTTTTTAAAAAAAACTAACTAGTTGGTATTGGTATTTTGCTTTGAGGTAAGTTACATGAATTTCCCAATATTTGTAAATAATCGACTTAATCAATAAAAAATAAATTAATTTAAGAGTGATTAAAAAGTATTGTGAGTGGATTTATTACACATAATTGAAAACGAACGAACATGTTAGCTCTGAGTATTTTCTAAAAGCAAAATTTCAAAAATCAATAATTTTTATAATTGAACCAGTTCCCATAGAACTTTGATGGTTTAGTATGTTCATTAAGACCAAGTACTCTATCATTATACCAAGTAAATCGTCTAATTTTAATTTTAACAAACGTCAAAAACCTACTCATTTTCTCAAACTTTGGTAAATTTTTTAAATTAAACTACTTGTCGTAGGGCCGTAATATTTTAGTATGATCTATAAGACTATGGTATCTATCGTAAAAAAAAAAAAATCATAAAATCGTCGAAAAAAAAAAATTAACACTTCATTACAAGAAAACGGCCCGGCCCGATCTTCACCAAAAACTAATCATGTCGATTCCCAACCAAAATGTTTTTGAATTTTCAAAATCGATTCAGAATTGCGGGCTAAAACGTGAAAAATGTTTTCACTTTTCTACTATTTACAAAGAAACGGCTAGGCCGATCGTCGCAAAAAACTGAGAAACGCTAGCCATCATCGAATGACTTTTAAATTTTTGAAATCGGTCCAACCGTTTTTGAGAAAACGTCGATTTACGGCAAAAAATGTGTTCACACACACACACACATACTTTTTCCAAATTTGGTCTCATTTGATTCATAATGCCTTGAAACGTCGAGAAAACATAAACTTCTCCTTTGGGAAGTTAATAATATGCAATATATAATCATTACCTTGCAACAAGTTGAACAGCATCAGAATTAAAGAGATCTATACCATAAAGTCTTGACATGACAATATCCATTAATTGTTTATGCGAGTAAGGAGCAAATGTCCGTCTTGTAAGACCAAGTCTTGAAGTAACCTTAGCTCTCAATAGCCGTTCAGGTAAATCCATTGTATTTGCAATAGTTATAACAATTAATTTAGCATTAGCTTTTGATGGCCAATCCAAAATAGTATAAACAACATCTTGACGTTTTGTGCATAAAATGTCGAGCTGCAATATTTTACACATTAGTAATGATACAAATAATCAGTGAATAAATAATAATATTACAAACCTCATCAACTAATAGCACAGTTGATAACCTAGACTTTGCAGATGTTGTAAACTTCTTGTCTAAAGCTGATAGAGCTTGTTCCCAAGGAACAGTTTTACCTGATAATAAAGTTTTCATCAAATTCAAATAAAAATAAATACAAGAGACTGCATATGAATTAAAGTTATAAAATACCTTCCATTTGACGATAAATGTGGACATAAGTCTGTCGAGGTTCAGTAAGTCTCATGCCGTTAACTTCAATGAACTCAAACTTGGGCAATTTTTTCTCTTTTGAGAGCTTTTGTAAACATTTTATTACTTCTGTAACTGTTGCTGTTTTACCAGTACCTGGTACACCTGATATATACATGCACCTAAAAAATATTTATCACAAACATATAAACAATTATGAATTATAAATTACATATGTAAAAAAAACAAAAAATATAGAACTAAAAATATAAAGAAAAACTAAAAATATAAAGAAAAACTAAAAATAGACAAAAGTAATAGTTAGTAACTACTAAGATAAAAACATGACTATAATTATGAGATTAAAAAGAGGAAATAAAATAATAAACCTACCCTCCACTATTATCCAACAATTTTCCTTGTACAAAAGTAAATATATCATTAAACTCTGTTTCTCGGCACGGTAGACTTTTTGGCACTGCTGATACATGCAATCTTTCTCTTGCTAAACTCAATCCACCTTTAAAAAATAAAAAGAAACTATAAAATTAAGTAAACGTAAAAGTAAATTAAGTAATGAAACTCGAAAAGTAAAGAAAATACTATTGATTTCTTATGAGTATTATATACAAAAAAAAACTGAAGACAAAAGGTACCTATTTCCAAAACGTCAAAAATATTTCACATAAACATATAATTGGTTCTACTCACTTGATGGTGTACTAGGTGCATCTCTCAGTTGCAAAGTTGGCGTCATATTTCCAGACTTGAATTGTTTTAATCTTATACCCGGTGTAGTACATGGTGTTTTTGGTTCCGATTTCTTTGCATGCTTTGGTGTCACATGCAACTCTTCAATTTTTCTCGATTTTACTGGAGTACTCAGATTGGTTACAACTTCCATTTCATCATCTTTTGAATTGTCAGCCTTAGCATTTCTTTTCACTCTAGACTTTGATGAAGCAGACACTTTTGTTGGACTCGAATCATAATCATTGGAGTATCTACTATTAATTTTTCTAGATCTACTAGAAGATCTTACTACTTTTTCATTTGTTTTAGATTTGATTTGTTTATCAATATTTCTCTTCACCTCTTCCAAATTCATTTTTTGTAATTTCACAATTGATGCTTTTAAATTTAAATTGTCATAATCTGAATTCAGTGAGGAAATGGATTCTTCGCTTGATTGGAAAGAATCATAAGCTACATCCTGTATGCATGATTTGTTCCTTATTGAATCATCACTAACTCGAAGTTTTATCTTATTTGGCTCATTCTTATCTAAAACAACTGAATATTGAACTTGAGGCGCACAATCATCAGTATCCATATCATCACTAAAACATTGAAGACTGTCATTTAAATTTCTACGCGCTCCAATTTTCTTTATATTAAGTTGGAGAGGTTCATCATCAGAGTCAAGTTCTTGAGATATATCACGCTCGGTTAAAGTTTTATTTTCATTCACTTTAGATAAAATTGATTTATTAATTAATTTGATGGGCGATACAATGGGGATTTCTGGACTCATGTTAGGATCTTTATTAGTAATATCTTTAATAATTTGTGATGTTGATTTCCTTTTAATACTCCACTGCTGTTCTGTTTTGTTTTCCCGGTTTTCATTTTGTTTAGGCGTTCTTGTTCTTTTTGGCGTTTCAGGAATCCGCGGCGTACTTAACACATCAATAACTAGCATACAAATTTTCACAAAATTAATGTTACTAATTTCTAAGTATTTATTTGAATAAATACATATTGCAAGCAATTAAAAACTCACGTAATGATCTACGTCTGGGAGTTCTTGGAGAATTGTTAGTAGATATATTATTCAGAATAGCTGCTAAAAATTTATAAAATCAGAAAATTAAAGCTATCAAATGTTATTAATCGGCATTATTAAATATATCTTATATACCTTTTCTTCCTCGAGTTGGTGTTTTAACAACCTCAGGTTCATTTATTGTACTCATTGATTTATAAGATAAATAGTTATAAGAAGACGAAGATCTTTCTAAAAAAAATTATACCAAAAATATTAATTCAATTCAAAGTAGACTTAAGAAAAAAAAAACAACAGAGAACACTGAATACAATATTCACATAATGTGGAACATGTGTTTCTCATTCAAAACATTTACGGCTGTCAACATTCATCAATGATATCTTGACATATAAAATAACTAGTTGTAAGTAGTATTTTACTTTAAGGTAAGTTGCATTAATATTCTGATACATATGCATCTGAGATATAACTATTTAAGTAACAATAAAATTTTCGTTATCACTAAAAAATAATCAATGCAATTTCCAAATAAATTCTTTCAAACATACTTATAATATCTGTGATAAAATAAATTAAATATAACTTGTTTAACACATTTCATATCATCTATTTTAAATTATAAAATCTGGGCGTCAACTGTAATTAGTAGCTGGTAGATTCTGATTAGTTGACGATTTTTCATAATTCAACCGCTTCAGACTATGAAATCTATCATTATACAAATTTTCATGTGAGTCGTCTTTTTTTTAATATTTAATTTCGAAGAATCGGCTCGGCCGATCTTTACCTAAAACTAAACAATATCTTTCAAACTTTGAATTTTTAAAATCGGTTCAAGATTGTGGGCTAAAACGTAGACAAAAATTTCTTCAATTTTCCGTTAATTACAAAAAAAAAACGGCTTGGCCGATCGTCGCGCAAAGCTGACAAGTGTTAGTCCTTATCGAGTTAATAAAATAGCTTTTAAATTTTTGAAATCGGTTCAGCCCTTTTTAGAAAAACTTGGCAAAAGGTCAAAAATCGGCTCGCACACCCTCACACATACTTGTGTGACCTGAATCATTGAAAAAACCAGAAAATTAGCAAACCGGATTTTTTCGCAAAAACAAACTTCTCTTTCGAGAAGTTAAATATATACAATAACAACTATTAATATAATAGTACAGCAATTTATAGAAACTTGAAATTAAAAGTGAAGTTAGTTACCTCTGTTTGTTCTTCTTGGTGTAGATTTTCTTGGTTCTCCCGAATTTGAGGAAGTTGGTGTACTTATTTTGTCTTTGACATCAAAAACCCCCTTTTATAAAAAGATACTTATTAAATACTTGATCATAAAGCTTAGACTTCTATTTTCAAATACTTTTTTATTCAAATATTACAAGATATTTTCTAATTTATTATTTTAAAAAAATTAATTATGTCTTATATGTACTTTGCATTTTTTTATTATGCACTTCCTCTACTTTTAATACATAGAAGACCACATGTGCACAATATACTAAAATTAAAAAATCCCATGGTCACCGGAAAACACACAATATGTACTAATAAAGCACAATTTTCGATGCAGTCTTCAAGGTGTGTAAAAAATGATACTATCATGCAAAATAATAAAAATTGATATATGCAAATTCTATCAAAGTTGTTGAATTATTATAACCACAATTTAAATTACAAATAAGTTATAAACCTACAATAATTTTCTAAAAAACAATGTAGCAAATGATTTATCCGACAACTATAAACCAATAATTTATCTAACACATCAACTAATATTAAATTAAATTAAAAATTACTTTATATTACAACCTATAATTTAAAATCACTTGCTGTGATAATGGCATTAATATTCAAGAAAATTTTACCTGCAAATAATCAAGGACTGGTGCTAGAACAAATTTTACTTGATTATATTTTCTTATTAAAGCGTAACGGCAAACGTAAGTAGTTACTTTCTTTTTTGTTCCCTGCAAAAAAAGTTTCCTATAAATTAATAATAATACACAAAATTAATATTGTAACAAATATTCCCATTTGTTTACTTACTTTAACAAGACCACCTGGATCATCATCCGCTTTTGATAAAAGTACATTGCATTTTACATGAATGCTTTCTATACTAACATTATCATCAAAGGGCCTCAAGTCTAATACCACCTATTTTGAAAAGATCATGTAATATAATGAATCCGTACTTGATTAGAAGTTCATGTTTCATATTAAATTCATATTATTCTACTACTATAAGTGATCAAGTTTGGTTGGTTCATAACTAAACGTATATATTACTTATAGAAAAAACATGAAAGATTAAGATGTATTTATATACATATGTAACTTTTACTCAATTCAAATATATTAAGAAAATTACACACACACACATATATATATATATATATATATATATATATATATTATAGAATTTTATGATATGAGTGGAACGAATATTAATTGTTTAATATGAACAAAACAGCACTCAGATTTGTTTAACACAACTTTATTTTATGATTACAGACGTTTCGAGACCATGGTGTGTCTCATCTTCAGTGTAATTTCAAAAACAGTTACTTATATACTACACATTCTTTAATAATTTATTTAAATTTCATTTAATTTTTGGTATACAAAAAACACCAACTATTCCTTGCAATGCTTGACACAGTACTAAAGAAACATATAACACTTACAGAAATATTCTAAACAAATTTGAAGTACTTATATAGATGGAGACAGAGAGGGTATCATTATAATGTAAACAAAAGGAGTGCTATCGCATACAAAAATCGATAAAAATGAAAAAACAAATTAATTTATTGAAAAGAATAAGATAAATGAAAAAATTTATAAATTATTAATGATGTTTATATAAGTGTCATGTAAAATATTTGTGTCGGTTCTTATTAATAAATTAATTTGTTTTTTCATTTTTATCGATTTTTGTATGCGATAGCACTCCTTTTGTTTACATTATAATGATACCCTCTCTGTCTCCATCTATATAAGTACTTCAAATTTGTTTAGAATATTTCTGTAAGTGTTATATGTTTCTTTAGTACTGTGTCAAGCATTGCAAGGAATAGTTGGTGTTTTTTGTATACCAAAAATTAAATGAAATTTAAATAAATTATTAAAGAATGTGTAGTATATAAGTAACTGTTTTTGAAATTACACTGAAGATGAGACACACCATGGTCTCGAAACGTCTGTAATCATAAAATAAAGTTGTGTTAAACAAATCTGAGTGCTGTTTTGTTCATATTAAACAATTATATATATATATATATATATATATATATATATTTATTTATTTATTTATTAGATGGGAGAGTCTTGGATTTGTAAATATTTTGTAAAGCTTCGAACAAAGAATCTAAATAGTAATAAAAAACAAAAGTTTTTTAAAAAACCATTTCTTTATTTACTGTCGACGTTTCGGAACTAAGTATGTTCCATCTTCAGGACATTTGTCAAGAAACATGATCTTGATAAGATTTAAGCTAACAATATGTTTAAGAAAAGCAGAAGATATATATATATATATAAAATGAAGGATTTTTTATATAAAATGAATAAAATTGTGAAAAAAATAATGTACAAAAATATGACAATACAATCAAAATGAAAATGATAAAAATAAATGAGTGGATTATATAACAAAATATTAATAATGTTAAAAAATTAGGAAATTTTAAGAAAAGGTTACTGAAAAAACTGAATTAATTACCTGTATGATTGATTATACACTAACACTTTTTCACTAAAAAAGATTTTATCAAAAATAGGGATTTCATAAAAAAAAATTCAGACAAAGAAACAAATTTTGTAATTCAAAATTTCTTTAAATTATCTCTTTTTTGAGTTTGTATTCATAACAAACTGATTATTGAATGAAAGGATTTTTAAGAAAAAAACACTCGACTTAAAATCTGTGTGTATATGTGTGCGTGTTGTTTTTATGTATCAGGATGTAAATTCTTAAATTATTGAATTATCTTTAAACTTTCTAATTTTTTAACATTTTTAATATTTTGTTATATAATTAACTCATTTATTTTTATCATTTTCATTTTGATTATATTGTCATGTCTTTGTACATTATTTTTTCCACAATTTTATTCATTTTATATAAAAAAAATCCATTATCTTTGGCTTTTCTTAAACATGTTGTTTGCTTAAATCTTATCAAGATCATGTTTCTTGACAGATGTCCTGAAAATGGAATGTACTTAGTTCCAAAAGGTCGACAGTAAATAAATAAAGGATTTTTTAAAAAACTTTGGTGTTTTTTATTACTTTTTGGATCCTTTGTTTGAAGCTCTACAACATATATATATATATATATATATATATATATATATATATATATATATACAGTGGCGTCGGAACCAAATTTTTGATGGGTGGGCTCGTTTTTTTTTTTTTTGATAGACAGCCAGTGGGCTCGTTTTTTTCTTTTTAGAGATATTAGTCCACATAATATTTTCAAATTGATGGGTGGGCTGAGCCCCCCCCATCAAAATTCATGGGTGGGCTCAAGCCCACACAGCCCACACGGTTCCGACGCCACTGTATATATATATATATATATATATATATATATATATATATATATACATACATATATGCATATTATATGAAATTATGTATGTATATATGAACATTTTGCTAATAAGATTTTAACAAACCTCATTTTCGGGATCCATTTCAACATCTTTACAAAACTTTTCTAAATCTCGTGGTCTAGAGTACCACTCAACTATTGCTCTATATTTGCCATCATCACATGCACCACCAGTTGCTTCAAATAATTCTTTAATTCTATAATTTTTTACATAAAAAAGAATTAAGCTTGTAAACATATATTCGAACAAACTACATACCTTGCAACATCAGAATCAAAACTTGAATTTGATTCATTCTCTTTAATAATTACTACATAATCATTGACAGATATAAGCATCTCATTATAACGAACAGACCTAAGAAAATTATACTTTCATTAAAAAGTATGCATAAAATATATTAATAAAATCCACGCACCTGTAACAATTTGCATTGAAGCGACGTATTAGAGCATTTTCTGAAGGGATTACTTGGCCCACCCATTGTATCTTACTTTCGTCATTTTCCATAATTAAAATCAAGAATTAAAATACAAAAAATAATACTAATAAATTAAAAATGTTCAAAATTAAATCATTTTATTATGTCCAATGTGACAAATGAGAGTCAGCGCAAATTTAGCGCGTTTTTCTAGATCCCAAGCAGGTTGCCAACACAAGGAACGCAATAATCAAACTGTCATCTGTCATGAACTGTCATAATCGTAACTTGTCAAATAGTTTAAGTAAATAAATAAAAATTTAAATAAATGAGATACTAATAATTTGATTTTTTAAAAACAAAATAATTCTATTTAAAATTTATATCAACTATTCTCTTTAATATTATGGATGTTCAAACTGTAACGACGAGTTTAGACGCATTGCTACGTATGCTAATATTTTTCATTTATATTTAATTATTCAATAATATATATTGCAAATATTTTATAATGCGATGCTTTATGTATTAGTATATAGTCCTGAAAAATTGTCTTTGGCGACGGATTACTGCAGTAAATGAAGTGACAAGTAATTATACCAATAATATGGGCATAAACATAAAATTTCTATATATATATATATATATATATATATATATATATATATATATATATATATAAACAATAAATTAATTGTCACTTCATTTGTCACATAAAGCATTGTATTTATGTATTGTATGTCTATTATTATAAAACATTTTCACTCCATAATATCAAATAATTAACAAATGTTATTATTAATAATATAATTTACTTCAATATAAAATAATATTTGCTTCAGACAGAGCAACAAGCACAGAAAGTGACATACCAGATCCTTTAGCAACTGAAGCATTTTGTGTAGTTCTTAAAAAGGAACAAGAAGGTCCCTATATTGCAAGTAGACTTATTGTATCAAAGATGCATTCTGAAAATCCCAATGTAGCTCTTCTCGCCCTTCAAGTAAATATGTTTTTTTATTGATAACAATGCATGGCCAAATATTATCAACAAGTATTAACCAAACAATATTAACAGGTTTTAGAAGTAGCCATGAAGAAAGGTGGTAGTTCATTTCAAGCTGAAATAGGAAAATTTAAGTTTTTAAATGAAATGGTTAAACTTGTTTCGCCAAAATATTTAGGAAATAAAACATCTCAACCTGTAAAGGAAAAGGTTATTATATAGATAAAATGTATTAAATTAACTCATACAGTGTAATAATTAAATGCTATATTAGGTTTTACTTTTGATGCACACATGGCAATTTGACTATCCAAAGGAAATAAAAATTAAGGAGGCTTATTTAATGCTGCAAAAGCAAGGCGTGATTAAGAATGACTTTCCAGCTCTTTTAAATGATAATCAAGAACAAGGCAGCAAGCATGAAATAGAACCTGCAAAAATTCAACAAAAGAAGAAAGTTATAAATGTTCAAGACGAAGAAAAGTCGAAACTATTGAAAAAGTTATTGCAAAGTAAAAATCCAGAAGATATTCAAGCAGCAAATCGCCTTATAAAAAATATGGTTAGAGAAGTATGTATATTTCAATTATTAAATGTTTAATTAGTAAAGCTTACTAATTAATATAATCTTTTGTTAAAAGTACTGTTAATTTACTATCTCATATATATGTTTCTATTAGGATGAAAGGAGAATGGAATTAATTAAACAACAAAAATCAGAAATAAGTTCAATAAACAATAATGTTAGTCTATTAAACGAACTGCTGGATCAATATAAATCAGGATCAAGTTCTGATGAAGATCTGCAGCTTATAAAAGATATATATTCCAATTGTAAAGATTTTCAACGAAAAATATATAGAATAACTCAAGAAGCTCAAGATCAGGAAGATATATTATGTACATTATAATTTGAAGTAATGTATTTTGAAATTGAAATCAATATGTTATATGTATTATCAGGTGAAGTACTGCAGGCAAGCGATGAACTTCTGCAAGTTCTGGAAAAATATAAAAAGGTTATAGAAGATAATGTTTCTGCTCCCATATGTTTAGATACAAGTAGTGCATCATTATTGGATTTGGATGCTACTCATAATGGCGATAGTTTAATTTTGTCTAATGCAGACAATAGACAAGATTTTACTTCAAATTCCTCACAGTCAAGTGAGTTGCTTGATATATTTTTAAGTATTGAACATGAAACTGCATCCTCCAGTGAAGACGTATTGAAACCATTAACGTTGCAAGATGTGGCTAAAGGTATAAAAGCTTAAAATAATGTTAATTCACAAATTCAGCTATATAATACTAATTTTTTTCTGTTCAGTTTAATATACTTTACTGTTGAACATCTTCTTATTTACAATCTATATAGCATAATTAATAACACAAAATAGAAAATTTCCAAAAATCAAATTAAAAAATAATACTTTTTGAACATTTGCAGAACAAACTAACGGTGATAATAAAAAAATATCAGCTATGGATGAACTGAATCTACTTGGTGAGAATTTATTAAAAAGTAGTTTAGTGGATGGTACTAGAGCTCCATCATTCACAAGGTAATACATTCATTATTGCATTCATGGATAATGATTATAATAACATTTTCAAATATTTATTTTTTGTAGAGCACCTACAAAAGTTCCGATGAATTCATTATTCACATTAAGAGATGATACAACCAACACATCCTCAAAAAGTGAAGAATTGGATTTGAATGTTTTGATTGGAGATTGTTTGAAATCAGTACCTACATCCGAGGCGAAGGCTGTGCAAGTAAATAATACAAGTTCTGTAGTAGATGACCTGATGATTGATATGTCGGAAGGAAAGGTGAAATGCGAGAAATAAATCACACTTTAGTTTACACAAAATGCTGGACATTGTTGTAACTAAATTTATGTAATTTTGAATTTCTAATTTCTGTTTGAATGTTGAAGTAACATTTTATTTAAAAAAAGGAATAGATATTTTTAGAAAAAAAATATAATTGTGATAAACGTTATGTACAATAATTTTGTTGATTATTTTTTTAAATTGATAGTCATAATTTATTGTCAGATGTTAAAACAGTATATAGATTCTTTTATGTTTCTTAATTCTTATAAGAGTATATTTAAGACTGATATTTATTCAATTTACATTCCATTTTATATATAGTATTATTGTTGAAGTATTAGTACACTTACGTTTTATTAAACATGCTATTCATTTTAATTAGTCACAATACATTAGTCAATAATGTAAGAAATTATGTTGAATTATGCAATATTTATATCTTCCAAAAATAAATCAAATGATATAAAAAAAATCTTTATTTTCATAAACAATTTCATCAACATTAACAACAATCATATAATACATTTAAAAGGTAAAAAAAATATACCTAAAAATTTATATTCCCTAAAATTAAGTAATATGTTAAGCATACATTTTTTCAATTAAATCTGCATATTTCTTAGTAATCACACTTCGTTTTAGCTTAAGCGTTGGTCCTGGAAGATTCCCAGAATATTTTAGTTGTAACAATTTTAAAGAACATTTGGTTTACATATATATATGTGACTTACCTAATTCTCCTGTGGGTATTGATAAATCCGCAGGAAGGATAACAAATTTTTGAATGCGTTGTGCATTTGATACAGCATGTTTATTGGCACGATCAATGCCTTGTTGAATATCTTGCATCAACTAAAAAAGAATTATTGAATTATTTATTGATTATGGTTATATAATATAAAAAAATGTGAATACCTTTGGTTCAGGTCCTGCTTCCAAAACTTCCGATAAAGTATTGTAATCTTTGCAACCTAATGATTTTAACCAATCTTTCACAGAATAATCAAGTTTATCTAAAGGTGCTCCAGAATCTTTGTCCATTTCAGTCTAAAATGAAATCATATGTAAAACCTTTTGGTTATTTTTAATGAATTTTTTTTATTGATAATTACCTTCAATGTTACTAGAATAGTTAAAAATTTTCTTTTATCTCCAATCAAGACGACATTACTAAGATGTGGCAACTCGGCTTTGACTAAATATTCAATTTGAACTGGTGGTACATTTTCTCCACCAGCTGTTATTAATATTTCCTACAAAAAGAAATAACATTAAAGTAGTAACAATAAATCATGTTTATTTTTTTAAGTAGCAATGTGTAACACCTTAATTCTTCCTGTTATATACATTAAATCTTTATCATCAATCTTTCCAATATCACCAGAATGCAACCAACCATCTTCATCTTTAGCTTCCGCAGTTTTAGCCTCTTCATGTAAATAACCCATAAAAATATGCCGTCCTCTCATACAGATCTGAAAATTTATTTTTATTACAGACTTGAAGAAATCTGGTATAAATCCTGAGTACTTACTTCGCCTTCTCCATTTTGATCTGGTTTATCTATTTTTGTTTCAACCCCAGGAAGAGTATAACCAACGGTGTTCAGGTTGAACCTAAATAAAAATAAAATAAGTGGTTATTTGAAAATGATTGAAAGTTGAATCAATAGGTAAAACTTACTTATTATAATCTGTCAAAGTGTGCGCGCCGCCAGATTCGGACATGCCGAAAGCTTCCATAATAGGCATATCTAAGCTCATGAAGTAACTCTTGGTATCAGGTGAGATTGGAGCAGCCGCGCTGACTAAAGTTCTACATCTCGTAAAACCCAGTGCTGCTCTTATTTTTCCCAAAATTAACATTGAAGATAACCAGTATCCCCAAGTATTCGATGGTTTTCTGAAAAACATTTGTAGTACAGAAATAAGTTGAACTATGTTTTAAATTTATTTAAATTACCCATTCATTAAGTCTGTGGTATGCTTTAGACCATGACCCTTAGCCCATTCCGCAAGCCATTTCTTAACCGCACCATTTCTTGCGCCGATGCTCAACATTTTCTCGTGTATTTTTTCATATATTCTTGGCACCGCCAAAAATCTGGTTGGTTGCACCTCTTGCAAGACATTAACTAGGCTGCCCTGGGATGATAATTATGGCATTACGAAAAGAGTAATAAGTTGATAAACAGAAATACATTAAAAAAGTAGCTGATTCCAAAATCTTTCAATGACCAATTAAGCAATTTACAAATGATGTATCTAGCAACATGTAGAATTTCAGTGAAACATGTTAATAAAATTTTGAAAACAAATATAGAAAAATGGATGAATGTGTATATTACAATTAAATAAGCATTTGTATATTGATTTAAAAGACAGAAAGTTCATACTTGCATCAAATAGCATATGAATAGACACTAAAAAGAAACGTAATACTGTGCCAAGAATGTTTAACTTTGAGTGCTCTATAAATATATGAATTAATTAAAATTCATAGCATTTCACAATTTTTTTTTTTTAAAAAAATTGTGTTTTCAAGTTCTAATAGTAATTTGATTTACGCATAATAAATTTATGCATAATGACATTACCATAAGACCGTAAGTAATATTCAATTTATTCACTTACTTTTAGGGCTTCTTTATCCGCAAAGTATACTGAAGCTGAACACATCATTGTTAAGTAAATGTCAACCATCTGAAATAAATTGAGCTATTAAAACGCTGTTCTTCACATAATATATTGAATATTCAAGAACACTGGTGATAGATTGCTGATTGATAAAAATATATAATAATATTAATAATTACTAAGTAGATACCGGAATGTGTAATGAGATATCAAATAAAATCATTTAAATTTGATTAAAATAATTAGGTAGCTTACCTGGGCCGCCACGTGGCTCAATGGTAAGTAGGAGACGACGACTTCTTTACCGGACTCTACATCCCCAATTCGTTCAGTAACATTCATAGCATCATATGTCATGTTATCATGAGACAACATGACTCCTTTGGGGTTTCCAACAGTTCCGGACTAAAGAATAAATTATAAATTAAATTATAATCTTTTTGTTCAAGAAAAATATAGATGCCAGAGTGTCAACTCACAGTGTAAACAATAGTGCACGCTTGATTAACACCCATGGTTTTTAAAACATAATCTAACTGTTCATCAGATTCAGCTTGGCCGATTTCACGAAGTTTGTTCCACTGAAAATAAGTTGAATACATTATAGCATGATATTTACAAAGTAATTAATTTTACAACGTTATTATAAGTATCTTACGCTTAAAACATCATCATCAGTTGGTTCTCCCTCATATTGGATAACAGCTTTAAGTAGTGGTAATTCCTTTCGGATGGCTAATATTTTATCCAATTGTTTTTTATCTTGGACAACGATTATATTGGCTCGAGAATTCTCAGCACAATACTTGCAAGCTTCCGCAGAATTTGTTGTGTAAATACCGCAAGCAAGACCACTGCAAAAAAAAAAAATAATTAAGTGAAAATTAAATCAGAAGTCAATTTAAAGAAAAACAACTGCTTCAATTTATTATGGTTTGTCCACAAAAGAAGTCTCAAATTATTTAAAGCAAATTTTTTTATCACGTTAGAAATTATAGGCACTTGTGGAGACACCGATATAGCTGATTATAATATCTGGCAAGCATATTAAACATAAATTTAATAGTTATTTCTATTTGTAACAAAGATCATACTTCCAAGCTCCCAAACATTAAATAAACAACACCATTGCCTAATCACTTGTGGATAGTTAGATGATTTTGTATTTTTTTAAGACTAGGCTTTTAGTCTCCAAAGTTTCATTTGTTATCCTTTCGAGATAGATAGGAATGAATAATATGAATTTAAACATTAAAAATAAACGTAATTAAAATTCAAATCGGAACATAGTATTATTAATGATGAAGTTCCATTTCGTTCTTCACGGAATAAATGTTGGTGTACATCATTGCCACCTTTTTCACTTAGATTGTAAGAAATTGCAGATTATCCGATAATGATAAAAGATAATTACGGTATAATAATCTATTTCGGCACATTGTGTAAGATGATCGTAATAATGTGTTTATTAAATAAATTACCCAGCAAAAATAGCCGCCACATCAGATATGAACCACTCGGGTGAATTGAAACCAAGAATGCAGACAGAATGGTGCCTTTGTAAGCCAAGCTTGAGGAAAGCTTTGGCAACAGTACGGACCTCTCGAAGATATTCACTGAAAGAAAGAAAATAGAAAATTGTTAAGAATCGGCAATTTAATTTAAAAGCTTATAGAAATCGTAAATAATGATTTGATAGCAGTTTCTAATAATTTGAACACTATGAGCAATAATTAATTGTTGATTTGAATTTATAATTAGATGTTTGGTACAATGACTTGGATTAAAAAATACATATAATGAACGGATTTAAGTTATTGACAGATAAATCAATAATGTATACAACAAATTACTATTTAATTTCGAAGTAGTCTAAACTATAAAGTGTTTTCAAATGCGTTTTTGGTTTATTATAATTCTATAGCAGAAAAGTGTGATGGCCGTAAGATGATCCTTTTCCGAAAATTGTGCGCAATTAGAAAATTGCATTGTTATTTTTTTTAACAAATAAATAGTATCAAGTAAAATTGGTTAAATTTCACTATTGGATTATAAAAGAATTTTGTATTAGGTATGTATTACAATACTGATTCCTATGATTAAATTTAGACCCTCTCAATTCCGCGCTTGAAGTAATTAGTTACTGTTTATTTACTATTAATCTCTGTACCTGTACGTGTATTTGACCCATTCGTTCTTCTCGTTTTTGCTGGCTAATGCAACACCATCAGGATGTCTTCTCACAGCGCGAGCAAGTAAACCAGGAATTGATATTGGCGGGGCGGAACTCATCCCGTGAGTTCCAAGTTCGATTTTTACACATCCCGCAGGATCCGTTGTAGTAATAACATCGCTTGGCAAAATCTGGTCAGGACCTTAAATTTAATAATAGATTAAATTTATTTTTATAATGTATTAGTCGAGTTATAAACCATATGACTTGCTTACCATCAAGGTATACTGGAGATTTTTCAACGGGCTTTG